TGATCCTGTTCCGAGAACGGTGTTCCCACCATTCTGGCGCGAGAACAAAAAACCCGTGTCAAGAACACGCCGTCTGATTCGATCACAGTGGTAGGCAATGAGAAGGGCAAGTGTTGACGTTGGTGGCGCTATTGAGAGTGGCATTCCGCCCTGTACCCGATGTAAAGTCGGTCGCACCATGGAGGTCGCATCAAGGCCGTTTTTTGTATTGCAGTTTCACGGTCGACGGATTCACGTTCAGAGGGCTTTTATTGTGTGTGATGGATTCCTTGTAGGCCAGCTCGTAGGAAATAGATCAGGAATAATCGGAATTGTATTTCGGTTGTGCAGGTGATTACAAAACGGTGCTGGAATTGTGTGTCCCGAAAACAGATCTTTTCAGTTTACAGCATGCACAGTGATTACCTTTCTCAGTAAACACGCCACCACGATGTTCGCCCAAACATGGTATCTCTTGGCCAGTATTATAATAATGATAATAATACAATGTATTACCAAAAATGGGTCACTTAGGAGACATTTCTCATAGGAACGTGACCAAAATTTTTCAAACTTTACCGTCCCACAATTCAATATTCCCATTGGAATGTCTCCCTAATGACCGATGTCTCCCTAATGTTGAAAAATTTACCACAAAATTAATGTCTCCCAAGTGACCTATTTGGAAATATATTAATAATAATAATAATTACGGATGGTAGCTATGTCATCTAAACACAGATGATTTTCAACGGGTCATCTAACAATATTAAAAATTATATGGAACTAAATTGAGCTATATTAAAACATACAGCAATTAACTATAGAAATGTTCCAATATACATGCACCATTAGGAAAATCAATATAGAAAGTTACAGACATGGACTATTAAAAACATCCTAACATGTATCATATTGTAATACAAAAGGACCATATAATTAAAAACAAATAGAATTAATGGTGATAAAAAAATCCAAGGGAATGTGGAACTCCCCCCCCAGCTCTAACAAACGCTGAAGTCAACACTCGAGGAAAACCAACCTCGGGAATATATTCAAGATTTAAAATACATATGCATCAGAACAGTGTATCCATCCAAAAATTGCGGCCAATGGCGAAAGAATCACACTATAGGTTTTGTTTTAGCCACCGGAGTAGCCTCTGCTTAAATGTTTCAACATTCGTAATGGCCTTAAGCTCCCCATCCAGCTTGTTCCAAATTGTAGCACCCCTGTAGCTGAATGATCTCTGACCCATGGCTGACACATATATAAAAAGTGTTAGCCTAATTGTTTCTTGTGTGATTAGTATGAACCCTGTTGACCGGTGCAAATAAGTCCTTCAAATATGAAGGAGCAGTACCATGGACAATATTGAACATTTGCAGAGTCTCAAAATACTCAATTCGATTATCAATAAGATAACCAGCCAAGTTCTTTAAAAGGTTGGACTGTACAGCTCTGCCTGGCATCCCTAATATCTAGTATATTTCTGGCATATCGCTTCATCATTACATGGATTTTAAGTAATAATTCTTTCCGACAGTTACCCCAGACAATACATCCATAGTTAATAAGTGGTTGTACTAGCCCTCGGTAATAATCTTTTCTAGCTTTCAAGGGAAGGAGGTTTTTGATTTTATTTAATATGTGAAGATGCCTTCTAAGCTTCGACCACACATTATTCGACATGAGTCTTCCATGAGAGGCAGTTATCAAAATGAATACCGGGAAGTTTGTGTGATATTCACACGAGTTATATCGTGACTGGGCCCTCCAACTAAAAAACCGATCAAATGCAAAGGACATCTTTTACGAGATCCAATCAACATACTTTCTGTTTTGTTTATGTTAAGAGCCATCCGATTATCATTTATCCACGCAGAAATAGGATTCATTTGGATTGACAAACTAACACTGATTGCTTCTACATCTTTATCACTTGTATACGAAGTCGAATCATCAGCATACATTTCCATATTTTCAGGGAGACATTCCGCGCAGTCTCAATGCTCACGTGTAAGTGCATGAGCTTTTCCATGTGCCCACAACGAGGGGCGGAGTAAGAATCACAAAGAAGGCGGGAAAGGAGCTATCAGTACCGAAGTTGATAGTTATGTGTTTTGGTATTGCTGTGTGGCTCTTTGAGGGTCTTACCATCTCTTAATGAAGCTCTACATTCAACAAAAAACGAAATTAATCGTAGGCACTTCTGTCCCTGGGTTGGATAAGGACAGATATGCAGTCCACTGGACACATCCGAAGAAAAAAATTCTCCCCCAGTAACACCCCTTTCCTGTCCACCAATCAACATTGTCCGTTACTCCAGCGTCTTATGCAAATGTGCCCACTACCCGCATTTTGATTCCCCCCCCCCGAAAAACACAGGCACCTGTTAGAAGTACCCATTCCTTTCATTAATTCCTCTATCTGCCATCTCCCCCCCCCCAAAGACAAAGCCTGAACCCTACACCAAGCTCCCCCACCCGCACCCTCATTACCCTCCTCGGCACACCATATGCTGTCACAGAAGGGCTCCTGGCCACACCCCGAGACAATGGGTGTCCCACGTCCGCGCGTGCCGCTTGCGTGAATGTTTAATTAGCCGATGTTGTTCAGAGCACGGGGGATATTTTCACAAGCAAACAGGATCCTTTGTTGCGGTGGCTGATTCCTTGGGTAAAGATACGCGAAAGGGATCGATCTCAAGTTAGACAGAGAGGGGGAATTACGCCACGTGTCGCGTATGATCATGTCTCATAACAAGAAGACATTTAACTGTTTGAATGGACTAGATGTCTTTTTGTGTGTGAAGATTCCGTATCGTCCTTTGTGACTTTCCCAGTGCTCAGGGTATTGAGAATAAGATACTGCGACTGCTATCAAGCAGATAGCTATATTCTTGGGACAAAAATTATTAGGAAAACGACAATAGACTCTCAGCGTCACAGGGGAGTTGACTTATCAGTACACTGAATGCAGTGAACCATCTATTGACTGAAACTGGAAAGAAAGAAATAGACAGAGAGGGCAAAAAACCCATGGTGGAAAAACAGTTTCATTGTGCAAAAACATTGCAGTTATCAAGTGTTTTATCCATTGCCGAATTCTAAATCTTTGGATAAGTGTGAACAGTGGAATGTACGTGCATTCATTACCAGCTGTTTTTGTTTGTTTGGGTTTTGTGGGAAATTCCCTGGGTCTATAATTATAAATTTAGTCAAGTGCTGGGTGACCGAGCGAGTCCTCTGATACCGTTCCATCAGAGTTCGGTAAATCGCCATCGTAAGATTTTATGGTGGCATCTCTTTTGGCCTGACCGTTCCCCTTGGAATCAGTCTCTTTGTTCTGCTCAAGCCGATGACCATTTTACTCTGGCCAGTTCCCACCCCCCTCGACTTTACACCAAACCCAACACAGGGGTCTCGCGCAAGCTCCGTACTGCCCCCCCCGCTTGCACGTGCTGGAGTGCACAGCGTCTTAAAGCTTCAGGGCTTGACGACAGACTGCCCAGAAACTGCATCTCTTTGTTCTTTGCAGGATAACAAAGAAATACCGAATCAAGTAAGACCACTGTCAGCCAAAAGGATTCCGGATGAACCTTGGAAAAAACGGAGAAATTGTGACCTTTATAAAATTTTTATTTCAAAAATTTATGGTTTTAAAGGGGGAATGCTCCAACGTGCGTACAAGACTTTAGTAATGGAATAAACACTATTCACATATTCCTTTCAAGAATATTTTGCTCGTTAAATATGTGTCTGTATGATTCCTTATCGCATTTGGGAATTCTGGAAATGATGTAAATGACTTGTAACTCGACATGCCGTCCATCGTACAGTTGATGTGATTTACTAAAATTCTGAAAGTCCTCGTTTCCTAACCCATGCGTTCTTTATACATGGCTTCCCACTGCATTGGCTTGGCTTTAGTGGTCTCTTACCGCACGGTTGTCTCCATGTTATTTCTTTGTGTGGATGTCAAATCAGACTCAGTTTTTTTTTTCGAAGATGAAACCGGTAAGCTTCTTTTCCGACAACTTATACCGCCCTGCTTTGTAAATACACCACTCTTTGAAATCCAACCAACCGGCAGCGACGGCACTAAAGTTTATTTTAATTCCTTCCTCGCCGCAGTATGCCTATAAAATGAAACTCGAGTCTTGCTACCCGCCTGACCAGGATTTTGCAGTTTATTGCTGGTATTTCAGCAGAAAAAAAGGCAGCGTAAGTTTGGAAAGCGGGGTTGTGAAGCCTGTGGGTCTACGACGGACTAGCTGGGACAAAAGACGGAGGCAAGCGGGTGCTAACTCGCAGGCTCCCACGGGAAGGCCGCCGCGCCGTCCATCGCTGCTTGCTGTGCCGGCCTATACCGGACATGCTGCGGTCTTGCTTGATGGCACACGGTCGCCCCAAACAGTGCGTGATGAGTGTGGTAATAAACAAGGACGAGGAATACCTAGACGGACAGAATGACGGAGTGACAGATTCATGAGTATCGGACCGAGAAAGACAAAAGAATTACGTTAAGAGACACCAAAATGCCTCATCAATTAAGTTTTTTTCTTCAGAAATTGAGCCACCTTGATTTTCGAGACGGAAATGAAGTGGACTTAAACTTCGACTTTCCTCTCTTTTGAAATGGCACAATAAACATAACAAAGACTCTAAGCTCTAAACATAACTCGTTAATGAAATGGACAGTTCGAGCCAACCACTCAGGACTGTTGCCTCTTTGTGGCAAAGTCATACCGGCTAAAGTTGATTTGCCAACCGAAACGTCTGGGGAAAAATGACACTCAGGACGACTCACTAACTGTAAGAGTTGAGAGGAGTGAAATTAATATGGGCATTATTGTTGATAAAGTCCAAACGATGGCACCAAGGCGCTGAAATTTCACTCGGAAAAGTAGAGGTGATTCAGACCTTATTATTGTCTAAGTGTAACGAGTGGCTGGAATGAAAATAGAGTCATGAAAAGTTCACTTCTGGATGGAAGGCTAGGGAAACAAAGAACGGTCTACCATTTGGTCTACCCGAACAAACTGATCGGGGCTTGTTTGTGGTTATGTTTGTGGTCCTAGTCAGGACCGCATCTCGCTTATGAATATTGACCGGGTCTTTCTGGTAGCTGACGGGCACCGTGATGGCGAGCCATATGCCAAGGGACCAGACTCAGTCTTTGTCCCCCCCCTCCTCCTCGTCAGCTCGCTCTCCAAATCCCGGACTCCGTATGCGTCGCACCGGCACACTGCCATCGCCGGAAACGACTGCAGCGAGCCCAGACAAAAGATTCCCCAGTGAAAATTTAAAAAAAAAGGACAGGGGTATTTGTGATGGCTCTTTGCAGCAAAGACGGAAAGAATTGTGTGAATGGGTGAGACAAGGGCCCGTATATTGATTATGTTGACAGAGGGGATTGGAAATTGTAGGGGTATCGGCGGGCTGAACACTGGAGTAGATGCGCTGAGAACTGTTTGAATATGTAGAGCAGACACGACCCGCACACGACTTGGTTGAGCGACGACCAATCAGCGGGCGCCATGCCGCCTCAACACGAGTTCACGGCACGCGAATGCAATTAACGGACACTTGCATATGCGGGCTGGAGCAGATTCGGCCGTTTCGTTATAAAAAACGCCATATTCGACGGAGAAGGCCTCACATCACATCGGCGGTCGCTCTGCGACGCGGAGCACAATGTAGCTCCCCGAATTGTGTCTCTGGGATGAAAAGCTGGCAGTGAAAACCTTGGGCCAGCAATGTGCCGGCACCAGGGTTGGAAACATCGGCGCATCAAACCTCCGGGAATTTCTGCCCGTTCGTCTTTTTGGCACGGGCGATAGCCGTAGCGCTGCGCACGGGAAAAAAAACCAACCACCTTGCTAACCGCTCCGCGCTTGTGCCTGCGCATTTTTAATCATCAACCCAAATTACCCAAAATGGCGGCCGCCCCGCCGCTGCTGCACGAAGGATGTGAGGATTTCTGGTCTTGGAGCGCCAACGACAAGTCGCACGAGGTCAAACTCCAGGGTGCCCGGAACGAGACTGCCGTGTTCCACCCCAACTGGTCCAACGGCACGGCCGGGGTGCGGGGCACCCGGGTGCTGAACCGGGGCCGGTTCTACTGGGAGCTAAAGCTGTCGCACCGGGTATTCGGCACCAGTATGATGTTCGGCATCGGCACGAGGCGGACCCGGCTCCATGTCGACGAGTTCGTCAACATGCTTGGGGAGAACGACCAGAGCTGGGGGCTGTCCCACAAAGGGTTGCTGTGGCATGGGGGGACCTCCCGGCCCTTCACCGATCCCTTCCCCGAGAAACAGCCGACCACGCTGGGGCTCCTCTTTGACGGGATCAAGGGGACGCTGACTTACTACAAGGACGGGGTGTGCCTGGGCGAGGCCTTCACGGGGCTGAACCGCTACACCTCCGAGCTGTACCCCTTCGTGTGTTCCACCGCAGCCAAGACGGAGATGACGCTGACCAACATGAGACGGGGTATGGTGTCTTTGGAGGACCGCTGCTGTGTTACTATAGCAACGCATCTTCGAAGCGAGAAGGAAGCAGGCGGGTTGCTTCTGCCGGCGATTTTGAGAAGCAATATTGCACGTGAGTGTTCCCGTCAGTCCCAAAACAATGACCCTTTGACCCATCTGAAATCCTCATGCGGTGTAACATGGACATGACCAAACTGGGAACTGGAAATTTCGATCACCATCTATTTCAAAGACCCTTTTTTCTTGTTTGCATATTTTTGTTTTGTTCGTCACAGACAACGCGGAGTTAATAATGTCAACATGAACACGCATCGATGTATAAAATGCTCTTTGACTGTTTTTCAATGTTGCCTACGCAGAGGCAATTTGAAAGTTCCTTTTTAACACTCATCAGTCGTCTGTTCCCGATGCCGCCGCCATCTTGGCCATTGTTATCAGTGACGTCATTTAAACCCCGACATCTGTCACTACGAACATATTGAATTTGGAAACCCCGTGTGCAGACGACATGAGAATCGATAAAAACAGGTCGAGATGCGCGATGACTGCGCGAGGGTCTGAACACGTCCACCAAAGTATCGATTATTAAAATGAAACCAGTCTCGTGTTGCACAGAAATTGAGGGATAACAGCAAGCGGCCGATTCACGAGTTTTTCTCCCTTCTCAGAGGGGAAACATGGCCTCTTTGATCCCACTTCTATGAAATGACATTTAACAGGCACTAATTCCAACTGCGTCAGCGAAGACAGCATTTTACACAACGCAGACATGCAGTGACTCTGTATCAACAAATTCGTTTCCATAGACCTGCAGTCGCACACAAGGTTCCCCGACCAGCATGAACTGTTTACGAATGGTCCAAACACTAAACTTTCTTCATTTCCCGATAAACCCTGGCTATCTATCCATCAATGAAGAGTGGACTTTGGAATGGGATCATTTTCAGCTGCATTGTATCACATTTCAAGACAGCTCATGTCGTGTTTTGGAACATGCTTTTTTACATGACCGTTGTGTGCGCTACAAGAGACTAATCATTGTTCCTTGGGTGGTGACATCGAGAACGGCCACAGCGCACGAGCACATTAATTGCACCTCTTTGTTCTCGCAACCATCAACATGGTAACAGACGGTACAATTCCCATGGTAACAGGAGGGTATCCCGCGACCGTCACGTGACCCACCCGCTCACCACGACGAGGCACGGAACCACAATTCTTTGTTCCAGGGCTGGGGGGAAAATTCAGCGGGTCAGTAAAAACTTCGCCCGAATGACCGTGCCGTGTGGCCAGGCACCGGCTGTCGCATCGTGAACAGACAACGGGGTCGGTGATGATTGGACCACGCCAAGCGGAGCCAGGCCCCGCTAATAGTCCCTGCGAGCACGGTACACGCGACACCAGGGACACGGTTCGGCTCTCCGAGATCACGGGAGTCTGGCCAACCCCTGTCATCATCATCCAGGGCCTGACAGAGGGAGAGGAGGCAGGCCATTGGCTCCTTTGGAGGCAGGGTTCGTCCTACAACCAGGGATTGGTCCAGGTCCTCGTCGAGGAAGGTAAGGCGATGACTGGCGGAGCTTGAAGACACAAGACGAAGAAAAGGTTCTCCAGCCTGGGCAATGGTATGATGTCTGCTGTGTACACACAGGGTTTGCCACAATGGGTTCCTTGCTAGGAATCGCTTTTCATTTAGTAAATTTATCCGAAACAATTCCAACATTATGTTGGATGTCATAACAATTTGTCAAAATGTCCGAGCATTTTTTTTTCGGAGTTGAAAATAATGTTGCCTATCCCAGCATAATCAGACTGTTGTGTGGGTGATGACAATTATGGAAATTCTCTGTGCAATTTGTTTTAAATACACGTATGATCTTTTTCTGAAAACAGCGCAATGATGTTACGCAGCATTATGTAAATATTTCGCCCTATCTCGATAAGGTACTCATTTTTATTTCGTTCGTGTAAAAATCCTGACAAAAATTGTTGAAATATTTTTCTAACTCTTAAGATCTTACTATTTTGACCGTAGCATGGTTGTGAAAGTCAAAAGTGTTCAACCAACAACTCATATCAGTTAACGTAGATTAGAAGACTTTGTGGTGACGAAATTGTCTTACTGTGTGTACTTATTTAGTACATTTTGTGCATGACGTGAGACCGATTTTTCCCCATTACCGTGGAGTAATTATTTAACTTAATATCATTAAGCCGGATGTGTTCTGTAAAATAACTCAACTTATCTGCTGAATAGAGCTAGAAATTTTGATTCGTTTATTGTATTCACGTTGACTGTAATCATAGGCGCCGCTGATAAAATTCCGACGACTCTTTCGTGTATAAGAATTCGGTATTTGTTTTGGAATGAATCTGCCACGCCTTATTTGTACAGTTCTGCAGTGCTGTTTTTTCTTAACCACGGCAAAGTCTTCGTGTAGAGCTTGATCATTACTTCATTTACGTAAGTGTTGACGTGGTAGTGCACGACACGGTAAGTTCACGCTTCGGTTCGTCTTAGGCTGTGACTTTGCATATCTGTCAATCAATTTGTCGGTTCAGAGCGAGTAGAAGAAATGTACATTGATGCGTCTGTGTCAACGAGGCAGCGAGTCTAAAAATAAGCCCTGCACTCATCCGTTGTGAGCAATCAACTCATTACAAGTAGATCTAGGTCTGTAGACGTTTACTCAAATGTAAAAAACATAATAATAATGAAAAAATCACAAAAAAGAAGGAACGGGGGCACCACAATAAAGCAACATTTAGAGAGAGATGTTAATCATAAGACAAAGATTATGCGACTCTTGTTTGAACCTGGAGCGCCCTCTCTTCATTGTAGCAAGACACGAATCTGGATAGTCTACATAATGATAGAATTTTGTTTTTTTGGGGGGGGGTGCGGTTCAGCGAGTATTGCAAAGGACACGGATTTTTTTAATGTTGAAACAGCAGAATTACATGTAGGCCCTAGTTTTGCGGCAATTACGCTGTTTCCTCGCTCGATCAAAACACACAATCTCCAAACACAACAGTGCTTGAGTAAATGAAATCTACAGAGGGCGCACCGGCTTTGAACAAGTGTTACGTCACCATTGAAAAACAGTATTATTTTATCAGAGACTAGTGTTTTATTAGAGAAACCACATACTGCCTGTGTATAGTGTGTCTGCTCGACAAGTCAGACTTACTTTAACCCGCTCAAACGCTGCCTATAACCGAAGTAGAGATTAACATAACTAGACAACTAGCTTAACTAATCATAGTATTGAGTATAGTTTAGAGATCATTAGCGGTCTATAGTAATGGAAATGGTAATAACACTCAGGTCAATGGTGTAAACAGCTGCCGAGAAAAAACTGCAATCATCTCATTCATAATCAGATTCGAAGACTTGGATAAATTACACCATTGTGAGGTGAGTTCGGAGTATTCGTAAAATCGGTACGCTGTCATCGGCACTATCTTCTGTCAAACAATGAACGGCATGTATTTAAATATTGCATTTAGTAACTGAAATACAGATATAATTCTCGTGTAGTTCATGTTGCTAATAAGTATGTGCTGAGCAGCTGCTTCATGGCTGTTATCATCTACGCTTTATTAAACACGTGGTGCTTTATATTTTCACTTTAATACCGGGATTAAGGCGCAGTACTGAGCGAGGTCGAATGCTTGCCTATCGTTCACTGTTGTTGAGTCACGTGTGAGTGACGTCACGTCACTCAACAAGTGACCACGTCACGTGATGAGTAACATGTAGACTTGTTGGCGCAACACGTGCACACGATTACAGCAAACGATAGCCGGGTAATCAAATGTGCTCATAATTCTTTAGAGTAGAATTTAAATTAAGTTTATTCAACTAATGTAAATAGCAATCAATATTACTAGTAATAATAGCTAGTATGAAATACGAAACTATTGTTACGAGTTGTAAGGCCGGGAAGGTGCAATATTAAACTAATATCTTTGTCAATCTATGTGAATTTGTATAATCACATATATTATCGTGCGAGAATACATTCCAAAATGTTGTAGCGTCAGTGAAAATGTAGTAATCTTTCTACCAGTTGATTTGTGGTAAAATGTGTGTAGTTTCTCGGCTGTGATTTTAGTGACTGTATTAGACTCTTGTCGTAAACATTTATCCTCCTATTTGTGGTCATTTCTGTTATAGACTATAAACATTTCGTATGTCTCCGCTACGTTGTGCTATTCTTCTTATTAGATATAGAAATACAATGTACTATATTATTCGTTACTTTGACAGGCGGTTTGTTTGCGAATGACTTTTATTCCAGAGGTGCATGGAGGCAGCAGATGTTTGAATCCTTCTGGCACAAAATTCGATCTCTCGCAAACCAGCTTAGCAAACTTCTTGTTTCTTGTAACTTAATCCTTCATTAAGAACCACTGTTGTAAATAGTAATTTATCAATACTTCACGAAGCTATGGATTCTTGCTATTCTGAATGTAGTGCATCTTTGACTTGCTTCCTGCGAAAACATGCAGGCACAGTCATGTGAACAGCATAGGTGTATTCATTATTATGCGAGTAGATTAGACACTAAAATGAGCAAATGTATTCAATATAAACAACAACAACAACCAACAACAACAACAACAACAACAACAACAACAACAACAACAACAACAACAACAACAACAACAACAACAACAACAACAACAACAACAACAGCAACAACAACAACAATTGTTTATGGATTTGATTCAATCGTAAACGCTGTGTATTTACCGTTTTCATTGTCGCATGGAAATCTCTGTTTTGTTTCCACGCATTTGCTGAACACTAATGTGTGCTTAAGGTAACAATGAGAAACAAATCCACTGGATGTGTTCGTGCTCGCACACCGTTTGCAGACGTTTCAAAATAGGAATTGTCTGAAAAGGGCAAGGTGTTCCCCCTGATTTTGACAGTTTGCGAATGTATGTTTCTACGAATTATCAAAAATATTAAAAGTCCTCTTTTATTAAATTAAGCTCAATAGTTTTGAATGTACCGTGTATTAAGTCCTTTTCACTGAATGTATGTTCACCTGTACGTTACAGAATATTATGTAAGAGTCTCATTGTTAAATTATTTCGATCTTATTTATTCAAAGGTCTCATAAGAGGCAGTAAACCCTTTTCATTGAATTCATATCCATTTGTAAATTACAGAATCTGCATGCAAAAGCCTAATTGCTGAATTATTTTTATTCTATTTATGAATATTTCAATACCACTTATATTAAGAAGGCTCACTTCCTGGAACTATAATTTTTTTTCTGAAAAAAAAAGGTCTTCTTTCAACTGATTATTTATACTAGTATTTATAATGATTGATTTCTGATAATCAACCTGAGATGCGGTCATTCTGAGCCTGGTTAAGGTGACACGTATGACCCATCTGAGAACCTGCCGTTACAATTGCCATTTGGAGTAGAAATGAGTGTTGCTTTCTTTCGTTGATTGTGAATAAAGTGTAATTTTTTTTTTGGTTAGAAACCCTACTACCGTTCCTGCCGTTGTGCTGTTTTTGTTGCGTTGACTTGATCTTTTAGTCTAGGTACAGGTAATCGAGGGAAAAAAATGCTTTTTGGTAGATGACTGAGAGTTATCATTCTCATCTTTTATCTCCAGCGTTTTAACAGTCAGCAGCAAACCACGATAGTTGAGCAAAGTCGCTGCCTAGAGATTGCTTGGCTATACGGCTGGTGATGACATTCAGTTCAGTGGGAAATGACCGCAGCCGCTGGGCAGCGCCGGCATCTGCATGCGCACGTTACTTTCAACCGAACATAGCCAAGGGGAATGTTCGAGCGTCATACGATCACTGGGTGATTTTCCCAGGTAACCTTTATACAGAACGTGCGTTTTGGATACCAGGCAAAACCGACCAGAGGTTGAGAAATTGTCCCTCTCAACCTACCCAAAGTCACTCTGAGAGGGCCTCGGCCTGACAATTGCAATCGCAGCGCCCCCTGTAGTTAGAGAAATCAGATAACCATAGATAGACGAGATGTGGCTGGGTGGAGATTGGGGGGTCTGCCGTTTGCTTGCACAGTGAATGAATAACATTTCTGAAAGTGGAAAGGGTTAAAAACAATGGTGGATCCTCTCCAATCACAATCCCAGACCGTGCTCAAACGGGCAAATCGTCGAGGCGTAAAAATGGCAGAAACTGAAGCCGATGTCTGCTCTTTGTACTAAGTCGCCTATTTGCCGACCAGCGGTCGGTAAAGCACAGTAATGTACCCAGGCCTTGAATCGCCGGGGGGGGGGGGGCTGGGCAAAATGGGATTTTGTTTGTCATCCCTAAGATACGCCACTGCTACAAATATGGGTCGTAGTCAGTACAAACGAACAACTCACTACCTGTCGTTTACTAACATCCGAGTCAGCTACCACTAACCACCACGGAAGGCGACTCTCTATGAAAGGACTGGGAAACAAATGTAGAGTTAGGGGTAAAATTCGACGAGGTTTACATTTCTCCAAACTGTGACAATACATACGAATAATATCAATGTAGCATGCAAAAGAAGAGGCGTTTAACAAAGCGAATACCGACAGACACAGGCACAACATCAAAAACGCACAGACTCAAAACAGCGCCCTCTGGTGAATGTTTCCTCTTTTATTCAAACACAGCATGGGACTAATCGTTTCATTCGACAGATTTTGGGGACCCAAAATAATTGCTGTTTATTTCCACAACCACCAGCAAGAGCATAGTATCTTGACGATACTTTAAAAATAACAAAAGGGTAAACTTTTCCGTTTACCTTCTATGCCAAAGAATAACTTGGGACACTCTAATAAATGTCTTCGAAATTCCACCGGGAGGGATTTTCTCGGGGCGGGACAGGGAGGAGGGTCTTTTAAGTTTTATCACCACAAGCTCTCACTTGCTCTGCTCCCAATAAAAACAGTTTATTACAGATGGCTCAGATATAGAATTACGAAAAATAAATAAAATTAGGAGGTTTATGATGTGGGCCACTAGTATCATTCTGAATCTGCCTATTGATTAGTTACTTGGAAATCCTTTGCCAGACAGCTGGTCAAATGTGTTGAAAACCCAATTCTCTTCCTCCCTACGGTGAATTTCCAAACCTTAACTTGTCTCCGTGAATGGCTTTAGATTCATGATATCAGTCAGCAGAAACTACATTCAACTTGTCTTGTCTGAGGCCAGAGTTTGGGGGAGTTTGATTTGTGACCGGATCTCTCAAAGTTGCGTCTAACGGCCACTTTTTTTCAATAAAATTGTTTTAGTCTGCATTCGCAAGAGCAAACTGAACTCTTTTGCTTCCGTGTGTGAGTTTGGCTTCCCGATGAAAATGGACAAAATGAGGGTGAACATGTTGAGGGTCTATAATTGATTGGCACGATGCAAGATTCTTCTAACGACCTGTCACTCAAGGGTGGCTTAGGCGACTCATATCGTCAGAATGGGTCACATTGGGTTTCAGTGGAAAACATGTGAGAACAAATATTGAGTCTGAGATCTGAGATAGGGACGAACGAGATGAAGTTGAAACTTGATATATATTCCTACGTGCTAAGACCCTTGGTTTGCAAGGATGTTGGCCTTGTACAGCTTGTCAAAGCTGGACGCACCCCCCCTCTCTATCCTATGTACTGGGACTTTTGGTCTGCAGGGCGTCGGCCATGAACAGCTTGCCGAAGCTGGACGCCGCCATGCGGTTGATCTCTGAGGTGTAGTTCTTCATCTGGCCGGCCATCAGCAGGCTCTCCAGTCGCAGCGGGGGCTGGGGGGGCTTGAAGAGCTTGGACAGGTCTTCCTCGGGGAGCGGGGGCTCGCCTCTCTGCTGCCTGGCTTGGTTCTCTTGTTGCTGTGGCGACATGGACGACAAGAGCCGACTTACAATCAGACGGGCACACGAAAAAAAAAATGCTTGCCTGACACACGAGAATAATACTACAGCGACTCCAGACTCAAAAAACCACACCACGACTTGTACATGACTTAAAGTCGTTGCTGACCCTGTCAGGGACAGGTTACCAGTTAGAGCTTCGAAGTAAAACAACTTTCTTTTCTCCAACCCACTTCTTGTTCAAAACAACATTAAGCCCCTCTCCCTTTTGGATTCCCTCACAAAATTTGGCCACAGGAGTGCACAAAGATGGACATACACGAAGCATCGCCTGCGACGCCAACCTCTGAGAGATCTGCCTCGGACAACTCACCCGTTTGTACACGTGCTGCTGTTTGCTCTGTTGAAGTTTGGTCATGGCCCGCTGGTAGTTCATGTACTTGTTAGTTTCCTGAGCGAGGTCATCTACGTAGTCCATCAGCAACTCCAAATTCTTCTCCAACATGTTCCTGGGAATGATAAGAATATTACCAAGGCCTTTCTGAGGTGCGCATGATCTCACCGTATCTGTGATTCAGAGGCGCTGATATGATATCATTGTCCCTGCACACTGGGCTCACAACATCTGAACATTCCTGAAACCATCTCAGCTTTCCGGGGAGTGTACCAGCCTGATGCTGCTGTATCAGGCATCTCACAGGTACCCGTTTACTCCTAGGCGGAGAGAGGCATACAGGGGCAAAGTGAATTGCCCAAGATCACAACATGCTGCCACAAGCTGGATTCGAACCCCTGACCCTATGATTAGAAGCTACAAACCCTAACCACTAGGCCACATGCCTCCTGTCTGCCCTCACAGGTACTCATTTAGTCCTGGGTGGAGAGAGGCACATAAGGGTAAAGTGACTTTCCCAAGATCATACCATGCTGCCACAAGCTGGATTCGAACCCCCGACCATATTATCAAACCCTAACCACTAGGCCACATGCCCCTGCCAATACAGCATTAAGACAGGGACGTTATGCAATAGAAGACTGGATGATCAGATAGGCACTGTGCACAGGGCCTACAAAAAAATCTGAGGGCCTGCAAATTTCCACAGCAACCTCAAAACATAAATACCTAAACACGCAAGAGAGTTGTGTTGGCTTCTTAAGAAAATTTGATCTTTGGAAAGCCTCAAACTAGTTACTAACCTTGTCATGAAAAGTGACAGTGTAGTGGTTACAAGCACTGTAAAACACTTAATCTAGTCCCGATGCAATGATTTAATACAGTAGGTTGGTCTTATGCATTCATTTGAGACTGGATCAGGAGAATCGATGCTGATAATGTCTGGGCCGAAGGCGAGGGACGATATCAGCGCCCGTTCACCTGATCCAGTCTTAACAAATGACCGGGTAAGTATACATTTATTCCCTTTTATAAATATCTTCCGAGTCAAACCAGTTTACAAAATTATAATTTTCCAAGGATTTTGTACAACAGTTTCATTTGACCTTTTTTCAAACACCCCTCTAGACGTGTTATGGCATGTTCCTCCTGAGAGCAGTTGTAAATGATCTCCTTATATGAAGATTGGCGCATAAGCGGCGCATACTGTCTGAAGTGGCACACGGTCATCAGGTGATTTATCAACTGTTTAAAGGCTGGCCACATGACAGGCTCTCGACCAATAGGAATTTAGGAATGAATGTTAAAATAATGTTTTGCCACCCCTTTGTGGGCAACCTACCCTGATGATAAGCTCAAGAAGTTGTCGCCAGTCGGTGGTGCGAGTTCCTTCAGCTCGCAGAGCAGGGTGTTGACGAGGTAAGAGTTATGGATGACGATGGGAATTTCTTCAAAGACGTTCTCGTAGCACAAACCTGTCTTCTTAAGGCTGCAAGTAAGAAATAAAGCATTTCAGATAACAAAGACCTTCCCTGAAGATGACTTTGCACTTCAGTGAAACATTATCTCTAACAATCTTCAATCTCCAATTTCAAGATGATTTTTACACATACCCTGGGAATTAAAGTTAAATCCCCTTGTAAACATAAATTGCAAGGTTTAGGCTCTTACTTACTCAATCCTGACAAAAAAACTTCCTGCAACATCTTGGTAGATTTTCACAAGGATCTGGGAGGAATAAGGTTGCAGTGAAGCAAACTTACGCATCTGTGGAGAAGTTGTAATCTTTGTAGGATTCCATCGCACTTTTCGTTAACCTGTACGCCTTCAAGCTGAGCGTCGACTTGGATGTCTTCAGTGGATCTGAGGAGAAACGAACATAAATATTTAGGTACGAGTTCGCACAAGCTGGTAGCCTGCCCAGCACTGTCCCCGAGCTACTAATTCAAATTTCCAATGATTCAAAAAATTTGTGGCTACAGCGGTGTCCCTTGTAGGCTATTAGCTGTCGTAATGGTGGCATTCTCTAATGCCAGTTCATCAAACAAATGTCCATGGAGCAGGCATGTCTTGAGGCCAATTCTATCACCGAATTTAAAAAGGTGAAATTCGCTGCATTTGAGAATGTGCTCAATTTTTGTAAAAACTCTGAGCGACTGCTTAGTATGGCATTGCACATGGTCGTTCTTGTTTGCTTTGCCCCAAATACGGAAACAACCTGAGTTAAGCAGATTTGGAAGCCAGGCCTACCGTATATGAGCACCACCGACTCCTCAATAGAATGCTGATAGTTGAACTGCGAGTCCAGCAGAGCCTTGTTGAGGAATGTGCCATACAGCGTGGACTGGTACCAACCCACGTGGAGGTGATCAATGTTGACGTGACGCAGGTTACGCATCATTTCCATCTGGTACAAAACTGATGAGGGAAATTGTTCACACGAAATAAGTGACGCTGTGCCGCTGTAACTTAAAACTGCACAACGCGTTGCCGACCGTCCCCAGGATTATTGGAAGGGGAGATCGACATACATTGGCTTGGGGATCCCAGAAGGGGATCCCCAGACTAGGGGGTTGGGGGCATTTTCCAGCGTTGGGGAGCATGTTCCCATGAAAAAAAAAAAATCAAATCCTGCAATCTGGTGCATTTTAAGCACCCCAAAGATAAATAAATCTACGCATCTCAGGCTTGCTTGGATTTCTTACTTTCTCAGCAAAGGTTTTTTTTTTTCAGAGGAATGCAAAAATGCATCCTTGATGTTAGGCCTAAAGAAAAAAGTCTCCGGTTTCGTCGCCATAGACCTGCCCATTGCCAAAATAAAGAAGTTCTTTATTTGGTATAAAACGATGTCCAAAAGCTGCCAAACGACTGGTATCCTGCTATTGAGTAATTTTAATGTGTTTTAGATGGGGTTCAGTTGATTGATATGTACAGTAAAGGAGTCCCTCTAGGCCCCCATACATTTAGCCGGGCACTTTTTTCCAGATGACCTCATTTCTATATTATACATTTACACCTGGGAACCAGACAAACGGGGTGGTCTTATTTCCTGTGTACATCTAAAAGCTGAAAATGCTCTTTAATAGTAAATAGTGAGGGGGCCAGGCTATGTCAGCATTGGTAGCAGCGGTACATACGCATGCAGTCACGATGGATGTCGCACGTTCCTTCCTCCATGTTTATGCGTACATCATTTCTAGGAACAAAAAAAGTAAGGGGAAAAAAAACGGGGTGGGGCACCACTTTTTGATCCAGCCCCTGACCAGAAACCGGACCCTTTTTTGGTTTAGCCTTAGGTGATAATCATTTTCTTGGCAACTTTGTTTCCAGTTTCTATGCCTCTCTCTTACCATCATCAAAGTTCTCCTCATCGGCGTGCTTAGGAAAGGGGAAACAGTTGGTTATCTCCAGCGTGTCATCTTGGACGAGGCCGAGGAGAACTCCCTGGACCAATTCTCCGGCACTCCCTCCTTCCTCCTCGCAATGCTTGATGATCTTCAAGACAACCTGGTGGATATGGAAACGTATTCATTTCCATGAAACAATGCACCATTTTTTGCACTAAACCTGAAAGTCAACAAACTGATATTTTGCCGACATCTGGTCACACTTTTTTTTGTTAAAGAGCTGGCACCGAATTGTTATTGCTCAATTCCCCGATGAAAGTGGGCGTGCGGGTGGCCCAGTGGTTGTCAAGTTAACCATGAGAGCATGCAGTTGCGAGGTGGATTCCAGACTGGGGCAGAGCTGTTAAGTGGTGGTTTCTTTTCCCTATCCAAAAGAGTCCCAACATCTTCTTGGAATGTTTTAAGTAATATGAGGCTTGTGAAATAAATGGGCCTAGCTTTGCTAAACCAATCACTCTGCCATTATCATCTAAAAAATGTCTAAATGAATGTGGTGAACAGTGAAAGAAAAGACTTGTGTGGTCATGGTACTCTGTAGACTTTGCTAAAATCCCAAGCATCATGTCCAGGATCATGATCGATTATGACCGGTTGTCATGGTTGTTGTTGATTAAGATGAGCATTAAGAACATGAAACTTTTTCTCCAATCCTGAATGATTCTATAACGTGTACAACTTTCTTTTTCCGAATAAAATACGCCAAAGCCCATGTTTCAAAAGAAGAGGTGAAATTGTCACTGATCAATAGCCCACGTTTGATGAAAGCGCGATGGGGCTACAGGCTACAATGCAGCGCAATAGACAATTTGTGGAACCAGTCTGGGTACCAGGCTACAAACGGCACGAGAAAATCCACAAACGTCAACCCAGATGGGGTGAATTTTTCCCCAGTCAGAAAACAGATCTGTTCTAGATTTTCACACACTTGAAAGCTTATAAAATAAATTATCAATGGTATTAAATTTTTAAGTCATAAATATCAGTTAAACCCTCACCAATCCATCAATTTGTACTTTCGCTACAGGTGTATCAAGCGTGCTCGCAGTCGCCATCTTGGTAAGTTGGTAAAAATTGATAAATACTACTAACCAAATTGCTCAAAATATGTCAATTTTTATAAAGTATTGTTATTCTAAAAACAAATGAAAATTTCATTGATGAGTAAAGAATATTTAGTTTCCTCATATATCAAGTTCAGGCTTTTGTGGTCAATTTAACTTCAATCATTAACGAGGTTTATTTTAAACCCTTTTGAAAGAGCCTAAATAAGTAAGGGCCGGCTGCGTCCAAAACTTATGACACGTGCGGCAAGGAAAGTCACTGGGTCGCGGCTAGTTGGGACCGGTTTAGTTTCGTACTTGCTAACAAGGACTGCTATTTGACAGATCATCAATGGTTACATTTGTATCGAGGTAAGAGGTGTAATTCTTCCAAAAATATGTCATTTAAATCATCTCCCAATATATCCGAAGTATGCGGAGACGCGTTGACAGTAGTCTTAGCCGTAGCTCCGAAAACCCAACAAGCATTTGGAATGTCAATTCTGTATAGCGCCCCAACATTACTGCTAGTATAGGGCTGAGTTCTGGCGGCTTGTTCCCGTATGTTTGTTCACGAACAGCTCGATTTGTTGTTCTCGGGTCGGCCGCTCGAACGCCGGGAACAAACAACGAGTTACCGATGGTAGTTAGTGACATGCAACATGGCGGCGCCCATTATGTAGGCTACGTTATTCGAGAGTTAATGTTTGGATGGGCTGAATTCTTTTCTATATAACAGGATTATTCATTTCTGTGTTACGGAAAATAATTAATGTTAATTTTTGCAAAACTTCCCATTGTCTTTGGCTTTGAAAGCCATCTCTCTACTTTTTGCAGCTGTTCAAAAATCAAAATCTCACGAGTTTTTCCGTGTGTTTCTATAAAACCCTGACGAGGAGGTGGTGTGTGATCCTGTTCCGAGAACAGTGTTCTTGGGTCGTGTTCCCGCCGTTCGAGCGAAGAAAACAAGAGAACAAGAAACCTGTGTCAAGAACAGGCCGCCCGAACTCGACCATAGTTTCCAACCCGAATGTCGGGAAAAATCATCAAACTGACCTTTCTTAAAGGGAAAATGATGAGAGGCTGTAAATTAAACCGATCATCAAAACGTAGATGCACAATTCAAACTTGATTTTCTGACTCATTTTAAGACACAGTTAACAAGATAAGCTGGTCCGAAGTTTATGAAACCATTTACGTAGAGTTATCAATCAGAGTGATCTCCTTTGATTAAAATATACTATAAGGCTGAATACCCGTTATTCTTAAAGTGCGCCCTCATTGGTATAACGGTGTACATGTTTAGTAAGAAGTGGTCGTTGGCGGCGCAGTAAATAGCGTCCATTCGTGCCGATTGGCACTTACCAGAATTGTAGAATCCAAAAATTGGCTAATATTGGGAGTCAGTGAGATTTATTATGTGTAATACTCAAAGGTTTTAAGGGATTCAAAGGAGACTGTTTACTGAAAGAAACTGATACCTGACTGTATTGCAATAATAACCAGCCAAATACCAGTTTTTTCGTGATAAAGTATACTTTATAAATACATGTACTTGTTACAAATTCCTCTAAAAATGATTGTCAAAACACTGTATTTCCGTACTGATAGAAGCTGTACAGCAGTACAGTAGTAATGTGAAATATGATTTAAAATGTTTCAAATGATACGTCATCAATTTGACTCAAGGTTCATAGCATTTAGTCCCTATTTTGATTGCAAGAATGGTGTTTTCTCGAGAATTGTGTTTGTATGCATTTTCTGCAATTTTTGACTTTCCTGTAATCTTTGTAACAAAGTAGCGTAGGAACTGAAAATTAGATTTTTCGCTGAGGGAATATTTTACTTTCCAAACCCCCCCTCTCCGAGGGATTTCTTAAAGGCTATGGCCGGAAAAATTATTCTCTCGCACCAGGAAAATCCATTTTGTTTTTCATTGTGTTTTTTTTCCCAAGACTTCAAATCCATTATATCCTCTCGCCTCTCACGGGCTGTGTTTCAGCATTAGTACATGGACCTCAGCTTGTTTTTTCCACACTTTCCACTTGGTTGTCTCCACCGGCGTGGCCCCGTCCGTAAGATCGTTCACCCTCTCCCACTGCCACGGATAAACAGATTGTGATAATTTGATGATTACACAAATATTCAATTTGGCGCGCTTTTACTGCGGCGTGCGAGTGCGTGTGCGCCCCGTAACACACGGCAATTTCTCAATCTACAGCCCGGTCAGCTCCGCTCCTCGCGCCGCCGTCTTTTTTAATACCCCCGCGTGTTCCCTTCGCCGTTCCCTCCACTTCTCCCGTTCCCTAAGACTTGATTATCTTCCTCTGCTCCTCGGACCATCTCCCTCATCCCCCCCTTCCCCCCCCCCTCTTTTCCCTACACCGTCTCCTTTTTTTTTCGGTCCGAGTGCAGTTTTCACCTGCGGGCACGGAGGATTGCAGCCGGGGCGTTGGGCGCTATACGTACTGCTGTACATATGCACCAGATCCTAATCTTGCTCTGGTTTTAATCTTCAATAAACTTAAGTGATGCAGAATGAGATGTGTTTGTGTGTTGAAGATGTGAAGGGAGGAGGGAGGGCCCTGATTCACGCGTCTGTCTTCATCACGGAGGCGTGGCTGTCGCGATCTTCCGAGAGACGGAGGCCTACAGTAAGGGATAATTATGCTTTCGATTGGATCATAAATTCTTGTCTTTTCGCGTAAATGGGTACTGTTGATAATTGATGTGAAAAAGGTTTTCGGTATCATTATGAAACTTGTAGTTGTTTAGTAGTGAGTGGGGTCTGGGACACACAACCAATAACCTCAGAACGAAAAGAGATTTCACCTGGTTCTATAGCGTAAACCATCGCCACATGGCTACGTCCACCATGCAAACCTTCCGATCACATTTTATACCGACTTGAGTAGGATGGTGAGCTTAAAGTTTCTTGAATTTAAGGACGGTCTTGCAATTTAACCGTTGTATTTGCAGTCACTATTTATCATAACGGTGTGTTTTGCGTGAAATCGGGCATTAACTTGGCTGTAATCGACCCTCATTATTGGAAGCCGAGAATTTCAGAAAAATGAGGGCGCACTTCGCTGTAACTAGGCAAACGTCATCTATACAGGTTTGCTGGTCTACCAGGGCCGTTCTTTCAGAGCCGAATCGGAGAATGGCGTGAGTATCGTCCACCAAAAGGCATTCGTAGTTTGTAACATAATACATCAGCTTCAAACACGAGTTTAAGCAAGCGCCCTCACTTGTCCTGTGTTAAGACGTTTTTACAAATCCGGCGTAGAAACCCTATTTCGAGAAAAAAGTACCTGGTCAAATACTGAAGTGATTTTTTTTTTCTGTAAAGTTAACAGGCCTTGCAGTGGTGCTTTTATTCCAAGCCAAATCGGCCCACCTGGAGGCAATTGGACCTATTTTTCGGTTTTGCTTGGGCACGGCTGAAAATGATACAACTTTGATCCATTGCCACAGGAGATTGTACTCCAGTTTATGAGTGGCATAAACATGTAGCGTGTAACTTAGCGGACGTCTTCACTCATACCTTCTCTTCAACGTCAATAACACGCAGAGATTTTTTTTTTTTAAATAAAAACGAATCGGCAGTTTATCGACCTACAACCGTTCTTCAGCTTGGTTTTGTTTTTTTCGGTTGATTTTTTTCATGAGCTCCAATCGATGCGATTGGTCGAGAACTTCTAACCGTTTCTCCGCACCAGTCCTGCCCTGGCCAGACCCCGGTTATTTTTTTTTCCCCTACATTTTGGATCTCCCAGGGGGCAGGCAATGTTATCATTCCTGAGCGCGAATGAAGGAGGTTTCCCCTGTCATCAATTGTTGTAAACTAAAACAAATTATAACGGCCCCGGTAGCGGGTGGGCAGTGGGCCGTATACGAACGGGATGGCGCGTATCGTGTCTCTTTCCCCCCGCCGCACCGGGAACATCGTACCGGTGTCTATGTTTCCCGTCTACCGTGTGTTCTGTCTTGTGTATGTGTGTGAGTGTGACCGTGTTTGTCCCCTCGAGACCCGCCTGGGGACGGGGTAACGGAATACTGTTGTTGTTGAGCGTCCTGATGTTTCACCCGCCCTTCTGATGCTACACGGGCCCGGCGGATGCCCCCCCCGCTACCAGACTCAAACACACGCCCGTCTTCTCTGCTCGCACGAAAATTGTTTGGCAGTTCGTGAAGGCACAAGATGTAGCCACGTTTTCTTTTATTAAATTCTCTTCTTAATTACCACGCAGCTGACTTTGCGCTATTTGAATGACAAGCCAGTTTCTTCCGTCGGAAAAAAAAGTTTTAATTGAGTTTGAGAGGCGTCGTTTTGTTGATGCGTTGGAGCAACTCTGATCCACTCTAGTTTGGATCGTTTTTGGACCCTATTTTTACTTTCTGACGTAGTTGTTTTATAAAGTGGGATATGTAGTTTAACGCCATGACAAGAAAAGCACAGCCTCTTCGTCCAAAACCACAATATTCTTGGAGAGTCTGGATAGTAAAACTCACATTGGTTATAAGCGGTTCAACAGAAACACTGGTTTTCTCGTGCAACTGCCAATGCGTCAGCTTAGCTTTACAACTTCTTTTTTCCCTACGTAGTGTACAAAGACCTCATTTCTTTTTGAAAAAAAAAAACCGTCATAAAACAAGACGACAGACTTGAACGTCTTCTTCCAAACTTGAAGATTCGGGGTACCTTAAGTTGCGAAATCTTCCGCGCACTGCCCTTGGTGTTCGCTGGTTCGCTGGTGTAACATGTTCGTTGGTTTCAGATCCTCGAGTCTGCTATGTGTGCGCGTCTAGCAGTACATTAGTCAACCTGATAGACTGCCATTGTTTCCCTGAGTAGTCGTTTGCTGGGCACCAGGACACAGGCTGATTGGATAGTCATGACGGCTATTTTACTTAATCAAAGGAGAGGGAGAGATGGATTTCATCTTATTTCCTCTCACTCTCACTTGGAAATTACTTGTCGCTCTTTGTTGCCATGAGAACCGTTACCGCTTGGCAATACTC